ATATATATATATATATATATATATATATATATATATATAGTTAATAACGCTAAAAATATGAACCCTGGGAATATTCATATCTAAAATAAAATGAACATCAAGGTACTAATTAAAACTATAAAAACGCCAAGCTTTCACCATCACCTGCCGGCATCATTAGGGCTGGGCCGTCAGGGTGTGAGAGAGTCATTTTATAGGCAAGCCGGAGTCTGCACCCGGCTCCTTGATCTCGTCACCGGGCCCAATTGGTTAAATTGTGCTCCGGTGGTTCGTTTCTTCCTGTCCTTCCTAGCTACGTGTGTATCTTCATCTACCTTCTTTTCTTTGGCTTCTGAGGCAGGTGGCATAAACTCCTTGTCTTTCCGATTGTCTCTATCCCATAGAAAAACAACCTATTGAGCCACCCCAACCGATTTGGAACACTGCGTATGACTATCTTGATGACAGTTGGGCATGAGGGAGGGGCATTAAGGATAAAAAGAAAGATACTCATAGAGAAAGTGACTGGATAAAGCGTGATCTGGGAAAAGAAAAGGACAAATGCAAATTACCACTCGAACCCGAAAGGGAGAATGGATTGAGGGATAGAGACAATCGGAAAGACAAGGAGTTTATGCCACCTGCCTTAGAAGCCAAAGAAAAGAAGGTAGATGAAGATACACAAGTAGCTAGGAAGGACAGGAAGAAACGAACCACCAGAGCACAATTTAACCAATTGGGCCCGGTGACGAGATCAAGGAGCCGGGTGCAGACTCCGGCTTGCCTATAAAATGACTCTCTCACACCCTGGCGGCCCAGCCCTGATGATGCCGGCAGGTGACGGTGAAAGCTTGGCGTTTTTAAATTAAACTTTTATAGTTTTAATTAGTACCTTGGTGTTCATTTTATTTTAGACATATATGTGTGTGTGTGTGTGTGTGTGTGTGTGTGTATACAAACATACATATACACATATACATATACATACATATGTACATACATGAATATATATATTTTTCTGCATAGTAGATACAATATAATCAGAGCCCATCTGTCTAAGGCATGCTAAATTCAATTGGAAGTATTAGCCTGTTTATATGCATCTGATCCCCTTTATGGATTACTGCCTTGTCGTGGCGAAGGGGCTTGCGTAACTCAATGAAGCTATAAGCTATGCCGTGCAGGGCCACCCAAGACAGACAGGTTATAGCAGAGAGTTCTGACAAAATGTGATCCACTGGAGAAGGAAATGGCAAACCAATCCAGTATCTTTGCCATGAAAACCCCATGGACAGTACTAAAAGGAAAAGGTTATGACGCTGGAAGATGAGCCCCTCAGGTCGGAAGGTGTCCAATATGCTACTGGGGAAGAGCAGAGGGCCAAAGCCGAAAGGACGCTCAGCTGTGAATATATCTGGTGGTGAAAGGAAAGTCCGATGCTGTAAAGATTTTTTCTCCATAGGAACCTGGAATGTAAGATCCATGAATCAAGGCAAGCTAGACGTAGTCAAAAAAGAGATGACAAGACTGAACATCGACATCTTAGGAATCAGCGAACTAAAATGGACAGGAATGGGTGAATTTAACTCAGATGACCATCAGGTATACTACTGTGGGCAAGAATCCCTCAGAAGAAATGGAGTAGCCTTCATAGTCAATAAAAGAATAGGAAAAGCAATACTGGGATACAATCCCAAAATGACAGAATGATCTCAATTCGAATCCAAGGCAAACCATTCAATATCACAGTAGTCCAAATCTATGCCCCAACCACTGGTGCTGAAGAGGATGAAATTGACCGGTTCTATGAAGCCCTACAGCACCTTATAGAATTAACACCAAAAAATGATGTCCTTATCATCATGGGGGATTGGAATGCTGAGGTAGGAAGCCAAAAGATAACCGGAATAACAGGCAAGTTTGGCCTTGGAGTACAAAATGAAGCAGGGCACAGGCTAATAGAATTTTGTCAAGAGAATACGATGGTCATAACAAACACTCTTTTCCAACAACCCAAGAGACGGCTCTACACATGGACATCACCAGACGGTCAACATAGAAATCAGATTGACTATGTGCTCTGCAGCCAAAGATGGAGAAGCTGTATACAGTCAGTAAAAACAAGACCAGGAGCTGGCTGTGGCTCAGATCATGAGTTTCTCGTTGCAAAATTTAGGCCTAAATTGAAAAAAGTAGGGAAAAGCACTAGGTCACTCAGGTATGAACTAAATCATATTCCTGATGAATATACAGTAAAGGTGACAAATAGATTTAAGGAACTGGATCTGATAGACAGAGTGCCTGAAGAACTATGGATGGAAGTTCGCAACATTGTACAAGAGGTAGCAACTAAAACCATCCCAAAGAAAAAGAAATGCAAGAAAGCAAAATGGCTGTCTGAGGAAGCTTTGCAAATAGCTGAGGAAAGAAGGGAAGCGAAAGGCAAAGGAGAAAGAGAAAGATACACCCAATTGAATACAGAATTCCAGAGAATAGCTAGAAGAGATAAGAATACCTTCTTAAATGAATAGTGCAAAGAAATAGAAGAAAACAACAGAATAGGGAGGACCAGAGATCTCTTCAAGAAAATTGGAGATATGAAGGGAACGTTTCATGCAAAGATGGGCATGATAAAGGACCAAAATGGCAGAGACCTAACAGAGGCAGAAGAGATTAAGAAGAGATGGCAAAACTACACAGAAGAACTATACAAGAATGAGCTTAACATCCCAGATAACCACAATGAGATGGTCACTGACCTCGAACCAGACATCCTAGAATGTGAAGTGAAATGGGCCTTAGAAAATCTGAGCAACAACAAAGCTAGTGGAGGTGACAGTATTCCAGCTGAGCTATTCAAAATCTTAAAAGAAGATGCAGTAAAAGTACTACACTCAATTTGCCAGCAAATTTGGAAAACTCAACAGTGGCCACAGGATTGGAAAAGGTCAGTTTACATTCCAATTCCAAAGAAAGGCAATGCCAAAGAATGTTCAAACTATCGCACCATTGCACTCATTTCACATGCTAGTAAAGTTATGCTTAAAATCCTACAAGCTAGACTCCAGCAGTATGTGGATCGAGAACTACCAGAAGTACAGGCAGGATTTCGAAGAGGCAGAGGAACTAGAGATCAAATTGCCAACATACGCTGGATCATGGAGAAAGCTAGGGAGTTCCAGAAAAACATCTACTTCTGCTTCATTGACTATGCAAAAGCCTTTGATTGTGTGGATCACAACAAATTGTGGCAAGTTCTTAAAGAGATGGGAGTACCAGACCATCTCATTTGTCTCCTGAGAAACCTATATGCGGGTCAAGAAGCAACAGTGAGAACCGAACACGGAACCACTGATTGGTTCAAAATTGGAAAAGGAGTCCGGCAAGGCTGTATACTGTCACCCTGCCTATTTAACTTATATGCAGAGCACATCATGAGAAAGGCAGGGCTAGATGAATCAAAAGTTGGAATTAAGATTGCCGGGAGAAATATCAACAACCTAAGATATGCAGATGATACCACTCTAATGGCAGAAAGTGAAGAGGAACTAAAGAGCCTCTTGATGCGGGTGAAGAAGGAGAGTGCAAAAGTTGGCTTGAAACTCAACATTAAGAAAACCAAAATCATGGCATCCGGCCCTCTCAATTCCTGGCAAATAGATGGGGAAGAAATGGAGGTAGTGACAGATTTTATTTTTCTGGGCTCCAAGATCACCTCAGATGGGGACTGCAGCCAAGAAATTAAAAGACGCTTGCTCCTGGGGAGGAAAGCTATGGCAAATCTAGACAGCATTCTAAAAAGCAGAGACATCACCCTGCCAACAAAAGTGCGTATAGTCAAGGCCATGGTTTTCCCAGTTGCAATGTATGGCTGTGAAAGTTGGACCATAAGAAAGGCTGAGCGCAAAAGAATTGAGGCCTTTGAACTATGGTGCTGGAGAAGACTCCTGCGAGTCCCTTGGACTGCAAGGCGTTCAAACCGGTCAGTCCTAGAAGAGATCAACCCCGACTGCTCTTTAGAAGGCAGATCCTGAAGTTGAAACTCAAATACTTTGGCCACCTAATGAGAAGGAAGGACTCACTGGAGAAGAGCCTAATGCTGGGAAAGATTGAGGGCAATAGAAGAAGGGGACGACAGAGAATGAGATGGCTGGATGGAGTCACTGAAGCAGTAGGTGTGAATTTAAATGGACTCCAGAAGATGGTAGAGGACAGGAAGACCTGGAGGAACATTGTCCATGGGGTTGCGACAGGTCGGACACGACTTCGCAATTAACAACAACAACAATGCATCTGATGGAGCATAACCAAAAAATATTTATACATACTGACACACAAGATTATATATGGTCATTTAGGGGAGGATTAAAGCCTATCTGACAACTAATGAGGAACAAATGGGGTCTACTTTATATACACAGGGCTTTGTGTTTCTATTTCTCCCTGTCTCTCATCTTTAACTGACAAGGGTGTTAGAATACAACCATCTTCTTCATCTTAAGGCTGCATCTAATGGCATCATTTCACATTGTATGATGGCTAATTCATCGCCCATCTAAAAGAGCCAATATGATGTAATGCTTCTGTTGCACTTGGATCAGGAACATCCATATTCAATTTCCAACTGTTTGCAAACCTTAGTAGATATTTTTTCCCCTCAGTTTTACATGTTATGTAATGCTTCTGTTGCACTTGGATCAGGAACATCCATATTCAATTTCCAACTGTTTGCAAACCTTAGTAGATATTTTTTTCCCTCAGTTTTACATGTTATATAGGATATTTAACAATTTGATTTTCATCTCTCTGGGTTCCTTGCATGTAGAACTACTTTAAAGTTTTTAATAAATGCAGAAAATATCAGAGAATAAAAGAGCTACAGTGTTAAAATGAATTTTGGGCAACAGTATTTCTTTTACTGCTGTCTTCTCCAGTTGATTCACTGGAGATTCATAACTAGTTATGAATACAGTCTCATGATTCAGTGAAGGAACAGAAAGCATGGATGTGGTGTTACCTACTTTTTTCATTTGCATAATAGTAGAAAGCTGTATTGTCAAGAACACACCAACGCCTCTGCCATTCAGAGCCAAAGATTTTGGAGTCTATGAAAAAGAAAGGAGGTTGAATGAGTAATGATTCTGTATTTCTGAAAAGGCTGCAATATCATTCACAGTTATTACTAATATTAAGACATATTACTGTTCCAAGACATTTTGTTTATACAAGACACTTTTCAGAAGAGATATACACATTTTGTCTGTTTACTGTAGCCTTTTCTGGCCTGAAAAATATGTGTTGGATTTGAAATATAACAATTCCCAATTTATATAATATTTGACAAATCATGTAGATAAGCCTTTCTGTAGACTTGGGTCATTATCTATATGTTTTAAAGTTGAAAACATCTGGAAAGCTCTCATTAAGGACCTATTTGTTGAATATTTTAAATGATTTGGCAGGGATTAAATCCTTATCCAAAGTACTTTTAGTTACTTTTTTTAATTTCAAGGGCCTGCTGTTTTATTTGCCTCTTATGCCAAATGGGTAAGTGACATTGGAGAAAGCATGGAGCATCCTTTTCTATGTACTGTTACAATATTTTAAAGAGTAAGAAATTCAGGGATAATAATAATATCTGTTTAATTCCCCCTTTTTTCTTTCTCTCTTTGTCTATCTGTCTTTCTATTACAATATGGTTTCTATTATCACCTTATCTTACTGAAAGAATGGCAAATTAATGGACCGATGCATCCAGAATATTTTGATACATTCTCAGTTATTTTCTAGTATTTGGCTTCCATTAAAGATGTGTCCATAGACTTGGTGTAGGATGACTTTTGAAAATAAGAGAAAAATCTGTTTAATACATGGTATTCACAATAATAATCATACTGAAATGGGCAGAAGCAAATACAACCACTTCTAGCAATTGATTTTGTATTTTGTGTGATGTACTTCTCTCAACATCAAATGTCTGCATGAGAAGCTACCCATAATTTTTGCTCAGAGGAATTACAAGATTTAAAGCATGGGCAACAGAAATGTGAATTCATAAATCAATAGCAGTTGCTTTTAGTGATGATAAGTTTCTTACTTATGCCAAGGGATCTTATCCCTTAAAGAGTATCTGGAAACTTCAGCTGGTGCAAAATAGAAAAGTATAAGCAGTTGTAAGTATTATTCACTCTCTGTTGGGTGAACTGCATTGGTTACCAGTTTGTTCTGGGTCCAATTCAAGGTGCTGGTATTGATCTTTAAAGCTCTACCATGGCAAGGAACTAGGTGAAAGGGGAAATTTCCTGACAGTTAGAACAATGAATCAGTGGAATGGCTTGCCTCCAGAAGTTGTGGATGCTCCAAAAATGAAGAATTTTAAGAAGAGATTGGACAATTATTTCTCTGAAATGATATAAGGTCTCCTGCTTGAGCAGGGAGTCAAACTAGAAGACCTCCAAAGTTCTTTCCAACTCTGTTATAATGTTATATTTTATAGTCCTCAATGTTTTAACTTATAATAAATTTAGGTAAGAATTGTTTTATATTTATGGTCTTACTGGATTGTTATATACCATCCAGCATCATTTTCCATGAGATGGACAGTCATATCGATTTGATTAATAAATACACAAATAAAAAATAATTAGCTGGTAAATGTTCACCTTTAGTTCTCTTTTCCAAATAGCCTTGTTTTAAAATGATTTCTTGATCTTCAGTAGCCTTCTGTCTACTATTCTCATCTAAAAATAATAATAATAATAATAATAATAATAATAATAATAATAATAATAATAATAAAAAAAATTGACAACTATCCCAAGACAGAACACATTTATTTTTGTTGTAACCAGCCCAGAGAGCTATGGTTACTGAGCTGTTTAAAATTTTTACTGAATAAAAATTAAAAATAAAATAAATATAAAACTGCATGTTAATTATATGCATAACAATGTTTAGCTATTCTTGATTACTACCAAATTTTCAAAGCTTAAATGATGAGGTTGGTAATTACTTCCATAAGTTTTTCTGTAACATAACAATAAGGTATATATTGGTTAACATGATACACTGTGTTAAGTTCTTACAGTGCAACACAAGGTAGATTTATATACTGGAAAAAATATCTATTTCTGACTAAGATAAAGAAGAGAGAGAATTTTTTTTTGACACAGCATGATGATTAGTCAGTATAATATCATTGTGCCCGGACACTACTGAAAATGCAAAGCTCTATACTTAAAATTCAGGTCTGAGATTATAGCTGATCAGAAGCTCTGATTGGTTTACAAGTTCTCATGGAATGATTAACCCATATAATTCTGCAGATATCTAAATTACTGCCCTAAAGACTGTATTTCTGGCCTTTGTTCACCATAATTTCCAAAGAAAATTTTCAATGCATACATTTCATACTAATGCCTGGGAGGAAAGGAGTACAGGGAAAAAAAATTCTATAATTTATTCCTGTTTGCACTAGTCAGCCACGCTTTTCATCCTGATGTCAAGATAGATATGCGGAAGTCAGCATAGTTAAAATGGTATTTAAGTCAGCAATGAGTTTTAAAAATGTTTCTTTTCTTATAGGCTTAGAAATACACTATCTGGTTCACTTGCATCTATGGAACTCAGACTTGAATTGATTATACTTTAGAATTTCTGTTAAATTAAGCTAGTCAGTTTTTATGCTTTATTTTCTTTAAAAATACACATATTTTTAAATAAATGCACCTTTAATGAGAGTTGCTGGATTAGAAATTCCTTAGGCATTATAACTCAGAATCTCATCTAGTCATATAACAAATCACTCATTCTTGAGGTAAAACTGGTAGTATTATCAAAACTTACTTTCAGAAAGAGGGTGTAAAATTGTTGCCTTAAGCACCAACAAACACATACAATGAAAGCCCAATGAAGACATCTTGGTTCACCAAGGCATTTGTAGAATAACAATTGCTCCAGGACAAGTTTGCCTTTTTTCAATTGCCTTTTTAATTGCTTTTTTTTAAAAAAGTATCTTGTTTTAATTTTTGTATTTTTATTGACTCTTAGGATTGTTTGTTTATTGTTGATGGTTACATTTAAGGTTCTTTTAATTGTTCTTTGTAAACTGCTTTGGGCAATTTGTAAGGAAGAGTAATAAAAAAATAGTATAGAAATATATTGGTTACAGCTTTAAAAGAGATTTGGTGTCATATAAAATTAAATTTGTCATCAGTGTTTTTCTTAATCCACCCTTAAGCTCAGTACAATCTCCTAGCATGAAATCTGGATAACTTCCAGAAATGGTAGGTTCTTATATAAATTCCAGTATGAAATCTGGATTCTGGAATACCTCTTACCTGCCTCATTCAATCATAAATGATCCAAATGCCAAGGATCAACAAAATGTGACAAATTAGTAATATATCAATAATCTATTGTATATAGTACCATTAAATGGAAAAGGAAGCAAGTTTATGAAAGTCTGATGTCTCAACTATATAGGGCCTCATGAAGGCCCCTATTTTATGGATCAGGAGCAACTCAGACTAAGACTTCTGGGTAGTCCTGGTCCCTATCATTCTGTCCCATTTTCTTCAAAAAGGGTGAACATTTTCAGACAGCCTATGTATTACAGGAAAGATTTATTTATTAAATTTCTATGTTGCCCATCTGATACAGTGACTCTGTATGTTCCTCTCACTTGATTCCTCTGGGCCTTTGTGCCCTGTCACCCTGAAGTAAATCCAGAAAGAATTCATAGTTATCTACATACATAAGAATTGCTGAGGGTGTATTTTATATGAATTCTATATCTATTATTCCAAATACACTTTAGTTTCAGATATTTGAGTAAAAATGACAGAAAGTATACTTTCTGAGATGAAATTACAACAAGCTGTGGCACTGAAAATAAGAATCAAATAAGTTCTGGCACTGATATCAGACTGGTATTGAGCTTTGGATATTTAATGATACCCTCACTTCAAGATGCATCCTACACATATTGTGGATGTACTTAAAAGACATCTTGGCACATTGAGCCTGGCCTTGATTTTCAGTCTGTCCCACTAGAAATTTACATAACTGTTGCCACCTCTGCTTATATTTCTTGTTAATTAGCAGAAAACCAGAATCACAGAGTCAATGAATCCTTTCCATTTTTCTGTGAGAATTCAGAACAAAAAAAAGGGTCTTGTCTAGAGATCTCTGATAAAATGATCTATGATGAGTGATTTGAGGATCCACAAGAAGATTGCAAAGGAGGCAGACATTTGGCTCATGGCACATTTGCAGTGTATTCCTTCTCAGAATTTGCTGTGAGATTGCAAACAGTTTCATGCAGTCCGACAGTCATCTCTAGAATATTAGCATAATTGATCTTTTTTTAAAAAAATTTCTGTTAAAATTTTGTATATGGTAAAAATCAAATCTAAAGATAAAAAAGAAAAAAGGTTAAAAAAATGAAAGAAATTAAAGTTAAGAAATATAATTATTTCCGACCTTTTCTTCAACAAATATCGTCTTCTCTACCACTTAACTGTTTTTAAAAAACCCTTTCAGGTCCTTATTTATTTCTCTTTTTTGATCATTAAATCCATAAATCATTTATCTTTTTTCTTCTTTTAGCAAAAAGTCCATATAAGGTTCCCAGTCTTTTAAAGAGCATTTGTTTTCTTCCTGGTCCCATAGATCAGTTTTTCCATTTGTACCTGTTCTGACATTTTATTATCCATTCCTCCATTGTGGGAATTTCAATACTTTTTCACCATTGTGGAACGCCAAACTATCAAGCAACAATAACCTAATCAAGGAACTACAAAGGAGAAACTAACACTGGCCGTGCAAGTTATTATATATAAACAGCGAGCATTGTACATTTATAAAAACCCTCACCTTTTTCTATTATTCATTATTTTTTCTACTCATCAAAACCGCTAATGAAAAGTGCATTTTTCTGTTTCATACAAAAAATCTTTAAGGAGTTTCCAGTCAATCATAAATGTGTATATTGTTTTTTCTCTATTTAAAAGGTTAATTTACCTTCTCTGTAATTTCCATCATCTTCACCAACCTTTTCTCTGTGTTTGTATACTTAAGACTTTCCATTTCTGAGCATATAATAGACTCGGTGCAATTGTCACATATAAAAACAACGTTCTGTGACTTTTTCTAGCTGCTTGTCCCTTAGTCACAGACAAAAAGTTTCTGGTTTCAGCTGTACTTTAACCTTTAATATTTTCTGAATTAATGCACGCATTTGTATCTAAATATTTTGGCCTTTTTACATGTCCACCAAATATGATAAAATGATTCTTCATATTGTACACATTTCCAGCAAACATTCCAAGTGCTTTATGCATTCTAGACAATTTCTCTGGGAACAAATTCCAAGTATACATCATCTTATAAAAATTCTCTTTAAGCATTGCCCACCAGATTGCCAAGAAGTCTGTCCCAAAAATCCAAGCAAGATTTTGGCACAGAGCATTTGCAGCATGGGTGCTTGCAGCCAGCCCCATAATCAAGATTGTCCAAACTCCTGCTTGGATTTTCAGATGGAATTCTTTTCCATGAAGGGCAGATGAACTGCAGCACTGAACTGGAGAAAAGAATTTCCTTCCTCTTTTGCTCCATCTGCTTAACAAGTGCAATGGGGAAAGCAGGGCTTGCAGTCATTGAGCAAGGTAGTCATGTGGACATTTCACTTGATGACTGCAATGACATACGATCTAAATTCCAAGCTTAATTGTGGTCATAAGTCAAAGACTACATATATGTAAAAATTACAGCAATAAAAGCACACTCATTTTCTGTAAAGTATAATAGTCAAAGAAATGACCATTATATGAGGCTCCTATTGATAGATTCAAATATGTGAATAACCAGTTATCTGTGTGGATGCTACTTTCAGAAGTCCATTCTGGGTCTGGGCAACAAAAAATTAGCTACCGGTTCTGCCAAAGTGGTGCGAACTGGCTGAATCCCACACTGAGCCTGATGCTGTTAACTGTCAGCTTTGAAGACTTGGCATTGGGGCCAAAATGTTTGAAGAGTTTGTCCTAAGAGATGCAGAATATGTGTTTTGTTGTTATTGATTTCTGGTTGCTTTGATATGGGGCATTTTGTAATATTTGTTGGTGTATGCTGCATGGAATTATGCTTTATAAATTGGGCAGGCTTTTAAGTTAATAAATAAAGAATTAACAACAGATTCTAATGGCTGTTTTGATTTATTGCACGTTGGCTTGTTCATATGGCACATGATGTATTCTCCGATTTCTAAAATTCATTCTTCCCAAACTATATTTATGACAGCTTCCACAGCAATTGTGATTTTCAAGTTATGTGTGCTGGAAGGTAAGAGAAAATTTTAAGTAGCAAGAATGAAAAAAAAAGCAAATAGAGTTAATATAATAAGTATTTGAAGTAGGAAAGCAAAATATAATAAAATGAACATCAAGGGAGAAATACAAGGTAAAAAATATGAGCTTTTAATAATTTATTTAAGTGGAACTAAAGAGGCCAGACAAATATTTAGACGAAGAGAGCTATATATTTGTGAGGTCATGAGAGGAAAAAGAGCAATGATAAGAAACAGCAGTAGAAATAAGAAATTTAATAAGAATATGAGAAAAATGAAAAAGTACAAGCTCCTAGAGGGGTTTGAAGATTCACATAAAGTATTCAGATTAAACACAGATTAACAGTGAAACAAAAATTGCATTAGTATAATAATTTTATTTCTTCATATTTTAAA